GCCCCCGCGCCCGTGCCCCCTCGGGGGCGAGTCGGGTGGAAGGGAGGGGCCGGCCCCTCCTGGCTGCCTCGCAGCCAGCTGCTGACGAGACGGCCTGGATCGGGGCGGGGGGCCCTCCGCTCCTGAGAGGTGCCTCGGACGGGCCACGCGTGGGCAGCGACAGGGACCCCGACGCGCGACGTCCTGATTGTTTCAGGGAAGGCGTCCCCGGAAGTCCAGGCCCTTCCCCCAGGGCTGGCTTCTCATCCCGAGTCGTTTCTTGTCGGTCTTGACGCGAGGGCCCCCCGGGGCCGAAAACAGCGAAGAAACGCCCGTCCTGATTTTTTGTACGACGCGAGCATGTCTGGGTCTCGGACGGGCCACGCGTGGGTAGCGGCAGGGAGCTCAGCTCGTGCGAGGCACACAGTCAAGACGCTGGAGGAAAAAAGGCTTGCTTTGGGATAAGGAGCGGCTCGCATTTGCGGGCCGCGCCTCAGCTGTAAGTCGGGCCTGTCCCTCTACAGGGGGGATATTCGATGCTAGTCAAACAATAGTATGGGAACGCTTTTAAAACTATGTGTAAGCATTTGGGCGGTATTATTTGAGTATTTTTTTCGCCCAAATTCCCCCTGTAGGGGGACACGCCCGACTTAACCTTAGCTTTTTCTGCCGTGGTGCCCGAGCCCGCCGTGGCCAGAAACGCCCCTTCGTTCAGTATTACGCTGAAGTCGGGCGTGTCCCTCTACAGGAGGGGTCCTCCTCCTTCTTCTCCTCCTCCTCCTCCTCCTCCTCCTCCTCCTCCTCCTCCTCCGCCCGCTCCACACAGAAATTGTCAACAAATAGTCTGAGGACAACTTTTCTATTCTTTTTTGACCAGGTTAGGGCCTTTGTTGAGCATGCTTTCCTGCTCGTCCAAGACCCGCCTGTAGGAGGACAAGCCCGACCTAATTTTTCGCGTTCCCTAAGGTGGCACGAGGACTGTATCGCAGCCTGCCCGCGTGGCAGGCGGTGACCAGCCCGATCCCCTCCCAGCTGAGGCTCCGTTCCAGCCACGACGACCCCAGACACTCCCGATCCACGGGAGGCCGGGACACACTGAGCAGCCCGAGACGGCGGGAAGGGGGGGGGGGGGCCCGGCGGGAAGAGGGAGAGTCAGGAGGAGGAGCAGGAGGAGGGGCAGGGGCAGGGGCAGGACTGGGACGAGGGGGCGGCGAGGGAAGGGAGGGCGGGCCGTGGGCTGCCAGTCCTCCATATCACGCACATCGGTCCGGGCAGAAGGTTCCTCGGAACTCGGTGTCGGCGCTGCGCGGGCCACACTCAGAGGTCGTCGGGCGGCGTGTGGCGTCGGGCTCCCTGGGGGCCTCCTGTGGGCCTCTTGGGGCCTCTGGGGAACCTCCTGGGCGTGAAGGCGTTTTGGACCGATCGTTTGGCGATTGGGGGCCCTCTTGGACCGTCCAGGCGGCCTCTTGGGGCACTCTTGGCCTGTCGTGGTACACTGTCGGAGGGCCCAGGCCCCCCCGGGGGGGAAAACGCATCTAGGTGGCGACCCCCACCGGTACCCCCCCCGAGGATCCCCCCCAGGACCCCCCAGGACCCCCCCGGGATCTCCCTCAGGACACCCCAGGACACCCTGGACCCCCCCTGGATCCCCCAGGACCCCCCAGGATCCCCCCCAGGACCCCCCAGGATCCCCCCCAGGACCCCCCAGGACCGCCCCCCAGGACCCCCCGGAGACCCACCCCCCCCGGCGCGGGGAAGGGATCCAAGGGAAGGAGCTCCCCTTCGACTCGATAACTACGTTGCTCGATTTTTCCTCTCGCTGGCAAGCTTGAGGCGGGGTGCAGGGAGCGGGGACGACGGAGACGACGATTGACGGAGACGACAGCTCGAACAGCCAAGCCCCCCCTCACGCACGCCGATAGGGCCCGCAGTGCGACGAGGGGGAGCTGCAGTCCAAAAGGCTAGGGATGCGGTGCGCATTGGCATCGGAAGGGGCCCGATGCTCCTGGGGCCCTTCCGTGCGTCTTCCCCTGGTGGCCTGGGCGCGCCTGCAGCCACAGAGGGGCCCGGCTCCTCCCCAGGGGCTCCTGATGGCGCAAGTCCTGGCTGCACTCATGAGGAGGAGGAGGAGGAGGAGGAGGAGGAGGAGGAGGAGGAGGAGGAGGAGGAGGAGGAGGAGGAGGAAGGAGGAGGAGGAGGATCAGGGAGGCGAGGATATAGGAAGAAGGAGGAAGAGGAGGAGAGGAGGGAGGAGAGGAGGAGGAGGAGGAGGAGGAGATGGAGCAGGAGAGGAGGAGGAGGAGGAGAGAGGAGAGGAGGAGGAGGAGGAGAGAGGGGGGGGACGAGGGGGGAAGAAAGGAGGAGGAGGAGGATGGGACGCAGGAGCTCCTCCCCCTTGGCCGCCGCCTCCCCCCGCACCCCCCCCTGTCAGGCGAGCCGCCGCCTGGGCCCCGCCCCTGGGCCGGCCTGGTGCCCCACGGCTCCGAGCCGGAGCTGGCGATCCTCACCTTCCGCTGGGGCGCGCCGCGCGCCCGCAAGCGGCCACCCTCCTCCTCCTCCTCCTCCTTCCCTCCTCCTCCTCCTCCTCCTCCTCCTCCTCCTCCTCTCCCTCCTCCTCCACTCCTCCTCCTCCTCTCCTCCTCCTCCTCCCCCCTCCCTCCTCCCTCTTCCCCCTCCTCCTCCTCATCCTCCTTCCCTCCTCCTCCTCCTCCTCCTCCTCCTTCTGCTTCTCCGCCTCCTCATCCTCCTCCTCCAGTATCATCCGCCTCCTCTTCCTCCTGGTTCAGGAACTGCAATGGAGAACCAAAAGAAGAATAATGGCCATGAGGGAAATCTGTCACACCATCAACTCTGGAGTTCTCTCTGTGGAAGTGCTCGCCCTTTAGAAGCGAGACTGACGGGTTACGCTATCACCGTACGACTCCTTGTGGGCCATCACGGCGAATCCTCTTCGTCTCCCGAGCGGGCCAAGAGGGCTCTGAGCAAAGCGAGACCAAGCACACAGCTTGAGAAGGATGGGAAGGCGCGGAGAGGAATGGATAGCATGACACACACGCGATACATTTACTTTGCAGCAACAGACATGTACGTGTACGAAATGCGGCACAAGCGAGCAATGATGGACCAAATCTTGAGCTCTACAACAATCTTCATGAAGGGCTCACACGGTGCTACGCGAGCATCATGGATCTGGGATGCCAAGTCCTCCGCTGCTGCTAAACCCACCACATATACCAATGCAGCAGCTGTAATAGTCAGTGTTGTGACAAGGGTAACACAATCGCTGAAGGAAGATCGCAAAGATGTGGCTGTTTCAACACCCAACATGACAACATCCATACCGAATACAAGAAGGAGAAAGAGCACCACAACAACATCCCATGTGAATATCATCGCCACGATCCCTCAACAATGAGTTTGAGGAGCTTCTCCAGCTTGGCCTTCTTGTCCCGGCCGGCTGTCTCATTGATATCCTTTGCTTGCATTTGCCCATTGAGGTATGTAGTGGTGGCCCCCTCAAAGTCCTTCAGCGCGTTTAGGAAGCCCTCTTTGTCAGTAGGCCAACCCTTCGGGTCAGCTGCGGGGGCGATCTGCTTCTGCAGCTCAATGAGTTATGGCGCGTGGCCGCTCGCAGGGGCACCTCCTAAGGTCTCGCCGGGCATCTTCAGCTTCCTGAGCGCCTTATGGTCTGACACCGCCGCGCCGGAGGGTGCACTCGATGCATTGCTGCTGGAGTGAATCTCCTGCTTCAAGGCCATGTCCTGATTCGACGAACGGCTTGTGCTACTTTCCTGTTTCTTTGGCGTCCAGGTCATCAGCTTCATAACCTTGAAGGGTTCGCTGCTCGGTGCGCCACATGAAGGTGCATCGCGCTTGCCTTTCTTGTTATTCTTCTTGCCGCCCACGCCGAGGATGCTAGCAACCGCAGCCTTCGTGCGTTTCTTGATCATCTTGAACATGGATGCGTTCTTCTTTTCATCCTCGTCAGCGGCCTCTTTCTTCATGAATCGCTGCTGTATCTTACGAGATTCATTGGTTTGGTCATGCACCCACGCAGGGATGCCACCAGAACTGCGCCCTTGCTGTTGGTACCCTCCTTGCTGCTGTTGGTACCCGCGATCTTGCCACTGGTACTCACGGGGGGTCTTCGGCCGCCAGTTGTTACCATTGTTGCCATATCTTATAGCGCTCACCGGCGCCTGGCAGGCAAGGATGAGGATGATGACATGGAACACGGAGATGCGAGACATATTGTCGTCGAAGAGCCAGGCCCAGAATACCTCTGCGAAAAACACGCTTGACCCTGATAGCGATAATGTTGACGCAGGATATGATGAACTAGACACGTGCATGCTGATGTGAAATTACGGAATACGGAAGCACGGAAGCACGGTACACCACCAGAGTACAATAGTACAGTCTACATATCCCTTTACGCGTGTAGCCCTCAGCGCCTGTACGTGCAGGGATAATTGGCTTGAACTAAGATATTCCAGATGGACGCCCACCAAAAACTCGGACCACCTGTGTGAATTCAGATCTGTGTCTCCTGAGGAATGCACGGCAGGCTTTGGATACCATTTAAGTTGGCCACGCCAGCCGTAGAAGCTCGTATATGGTATCACAAGCATCTGCACCACGTCGAGCTCACCCCTCTGCAATGGTGTAGTAAGTAGGGACACGCTCGTGTAGTAATGTGCACAGAAGAGAAAAATGTAGGCGAGCAGCTGCGGAGAAATAGCTGGGGTACTTTGCGATTTTTGGGTGCGGGGCCACACCGCGTGCATAATCAGAATTAGCGAAGAACGGGACCGTGACAAGATCATCACCTCGAGGAAGAAGACGAGCTTGGAGGTATGTGAGGTGTGGCTCTTACTCTTCACATGGTACGCCAACATCTTCTGGCCATACTCTGCGCATGTATGCGTACAGACACGATGAACAGTACATGTTTGAAAACACCAAGGTGTCATCAACATAAATGCCGCCCTGGAGAAGATCAGCAACGCCATACCCTGGTATGTGCATGCCAACGCTGCGCGCGCGCGTCGTGCTCGTGTACATGTTGTGGATGTCTTCCCCAAGTTCTGCAAGCTTACCTGCCTCAGACATCGACCCTCCCATGAGCTCTCCGGATACGTTGATAGACGATGCTCCCAAAAACCAGGTAAACGTCGAGAGACACAGAACGTTAAGCCCGGCGCATGTCTGTGAAGGTAAGCATGGTGTGCGTGTTGGGGATATTGGCCGTGTCGCGACATGGGAAGCCACATGCGTTGGACGACTTCTTAACAGCGATGGCATTCCGCTGCTGTCCACGTCCAACGCGGCACAACATCTTGCCAGCACGGTCAACACCACGAGGGGCCGACGCATGTTTGAAGAATTGGGATGCATCACGTTTACACAAAGATATGGTAGGCTTACATGTTCCACATGGGCACACATACTGGAACGCATGTATTTGTTTGAGCCCTGCTGTCTTTTCGCGAAGAGTTTGGGGAAGTATCTTCGGCTCCCACAGAGACCAAGGTACATCTTTGGATAATCGTTTAGCCAGGCGAAGTCCACGAGCAGCCAATCGAAGAAATCTTGTCTATGGGTCGCGGCAGTTCGCAAGGATGTTCCGATGATGTGCATGTGCACGCGTGCATACCAGTTTCCTATCATCGTTAACACACTTGCTCTTGACGGTGAGATACGCAGATGGTAACATGGATGGCGTGCATACCGCGCGCGGGCGAAAACGTAGAGGTACGTACTTCTTGGGCCAAACGTGAATGTTTGTTTCGCAATTTCGGTGGGGGTTCAAAGAGGTAGGTGTACGTAGTGTTCACGATCTTGATGGAAGCATTCGCCCAAACGCCTAATGTAGTTCCACCCCCCCATGGCGAACCTTCGATGCTGGTCTTTGTCCACAGAAACCCACACTTGCCCAGGCGTGCATGCGAGATACTCGTCCCGTGCAGCTTCGAGTGGTGTTGGGGTAAAAGCGCTCCATACACTAGGAGGAATGTGCAGCATGGAGTCACAAGGAGCACGTTGCTGAATCCACCGGCCAGAAGGGCAGGAAGATCTGAATTGGTATCGATAGTGATGCCCCTGGATAGTTTGTGACGGTTCCTCCAATATGTGCCGCGTGTTAATCGACTTGCGTACGTCCCAGTACTGATTGCTCTTGAGGACGTTATCTGTGAAAGGTCAGACGAGAACTTGGGGCCTTCCAACACGTAATGAAAGACCCGGACGGAATGTTATTTAGATATCGTGGTGTATAACACCATCAGAAATATTCGTTGGCCTTGAAAAACGATCCGTGATTGTTTCCATTGGTAGTATGCCACGTACGCCGTGTGATATTTCTTCCACACGTGCACGATATACGCTCGAAGCACTTGCTTGCAACGACTTTGAGGAACGGGTACGTCACAGCACACGTACACAGTATGGGGCTGAGGGGAGGATGGTGCCACGCGACAAAAGGATTCCAACTTTCCTCTGGCACGCCCACATTGTACCCTTGGGAGACGGTAGCACAGGTGCCATACGCGCAGAATCCATTATGTGAGATGGCTCGTCCGCCGCCACGCTCGTCTGAAGTCCAGCCTCGCCTGGGACTGCCCCAGGAGCAGAGCAAGCCAGAATCCGAAATCACGGCAATAGGTACATGTTTGGACCGTTTCTCGATCCACGCTTAGCGTGCGCCCACTCCACTCACACAAATATAGAAAACGTGCACAAAAAGGCCTGGAAGCTGGAGAGCCTGGTGGGGTTCCTGCGGAGCTGGCAGAGCGAGCGGAGGGAGCATTCAGAAGCAAGGGGAGGATGTGCACGAAATCGAGGGTATGGTCGAGGACGTGATTGCCCAGTCTGTACCAACACCAGTCTGCGTAGGAGGTTCCTGAACGTTAATCGCCAGTTGCTCATATTTAGGAATGTTGGCTTGCGTCCCAAATGCCACTGGGAAAGGAACGAACGATTCGTACGCAGTGCCACGCCACGCTCGGCATCGGGGCTTGTCGCTGTGTGATTCACGCTGCCGATTTGTAGCAGTGAAATGCTCACGCAGCCTCGCTGTGCCCATGTACCATGTGCGTCCATGGTGTGTACGTGCCACGCGCGTTTGTTTAATGTACCGCGCATTCGGTTCCATTGCAAACGCGATATACAGCAAAGCCAGGGGAGAAGAGGATGTCCAGGGAGAGGTGCACAACAACGCATTGAGGTACTTCTTCCATCCATCATACCTAAAATCGCATTCCAGAGTGATGCATTGGATGTCTTGTCCAGCACAACGAAGACACGGACGTATCCAAAGTTGTTGCGCGTGCTTGTGATGCATGTGCTTCGCGCCCAACACGACCTCACTGAACATGCACGCGTTTCAAGCAACGTACGATTCAGTTCAATTGTATAACCACCTGCCAAGAACACACAGGACGTCACGGAGCTTGGATCGCAGCTGTAGGTGTCGGCATTCACGCGTGCTCCATTGGAACATGATGTACTCAAGACGTTCTG